AGTTACTAACGCAATTGGGGCAGGAAATGCTATTCAAAAGCCAAACGGATTCTGGGACTGGGCGAGCTCAATGCCTAAGGAATAGGAAGCTGTTCCCTTCTCTTGCCTCATCAGATTTCTAAGAACTAACTACTTGCCCCAGACTTCAAGAATCTCTCAGTGTCCACGTACTTCGTAGTGTAGTATTTTTAGCCATATACTCTGTCATCCTGAGGTTTTGTGGGGAAATACCCATTCTGGCTGCTGAGGACCCTAAACCAGGTCAATAGGGACTTATTGCTAAACATGCAAATGTCTACAGGGAAGCTGCAGGAATTCTGCTGCCTGAACTGTCAGTAGCGAGGAATAAAGATGAAACTGTTCTTGTCTTCCAGGTCAGCCACAGCTAATGTTGACAGCAGGACCCAGTGTCGCAGTTCCTCCACAAGCACCTTTTGGCTATGGCTACACTGCACCTCCATATGGGCAACCGCAGCCGGGCTTTGGGTACAGCATGTAAGAAGCAGCACAAGTCAGTTTGGAGCTAGCATATTTTCTTACTGAAACTCCACCGTCCCTCCCCGCTTTAACTCATAACAGGGAAAAGCAAGAGTTCTGCCTCGTGTTCTTGTAACCTTTATTTCATGAAGGACTGTTTTTTCTAGCGCAAACTATTTGAATCACTTATGTTAAATCTTTTTCACATTCCATGTCATTTAGACTTTACAAGGGGAATAGTTTAAACAACTTTGTTCAAGTGGGCTTTTGCAGGACTGCTTATTACCATTAAGTCTATTGTGAAAATTCTGATTTGCACTCTATAGTGTTAAACTCTAATATTGAATCTTAAGTTCATTGTATGTGAGCAGCTTACAGTATGTACTGTCTATTCTAAATGCATTTAAGTCTCACTGTATATTCGGAGAAAGCTAAAGCGAAGATACTTGTATTTGACCTTGCAAGACTGCTGACAGGAGACAACACTAATCAGCATATCCTTCCCTGGTTGGATTGCATAGCTCTAAAAGAATTTAAAATGCGTACAGACAACCTTGCCTGACTTAAAATGAGTAAAAGTTTTTTGGTTTTTTTTTTTCCTCCTTAACCTATGCAGGTTTTTCCAGTTATGCATATAGAAAATGCTAGTGTCTTTTTGCTCACTCCATATGTAACAGATGACCTTATGTTGTGCTGTATCCTGTGCTTTTGTGGGACATTCCATTCAGGAACAGAGCACCATGATTCCAATCTGTGTATTTACTAACCCTGCCCTGAGGTTTGTGTATGTTGGATATTGTGGTGTTTTAGATCACTGTTTTGAGTGTACAGAAGAGAGAATTCAAGCATATTGCTGTTCAGTTTTGTTTGTGCAATTTGAAATTACTCAATTTAAAAATAAATTACTGGACTGTGGACATGCTGCATAGTGGTAGCTTCACTTTACTGTCTTCAAAAAGGACCTTCGAACTCAAACCAAGTATTACAGTGCTAGTAGCATGGGGCATGCAAGTGCGTACGTTCAAGGGTATGAGGGGCCATCAGGAAAGCAGCAGTGGAGACCATTAGTGGTGTCTTGCACTGAGAGGGCAATACAAGAAAATATGTAATGCTTTTTCTATAGAAAGATCATGCCAGAGAACAAAACAGCACTTTTCAATAGTTGGCTGCATTGTGGTCAACTACAGCATATTTGACCAGACGATATCGTAGGATTGTAGTAGGGCGTGTCAGTTAAATTGAGATCATGTTCTAGGTATGTAAGTTGCCTTAAATATATTTAGCTTCAAATAAAATTGACTTAAATGTTTCTCTATGAATACTGTCATATTTGAGTGTAACGAGTATTACAGCACTGGCCACGTTTGACAGCTGTAGAAGCTTCCTTCTCTTAACCAGGAGCCGTCCTCGGGGTCAGGTTCCAGCTCCGAGGCTGAATCCCCTTCCTGCTTGCTCCTGTGAACTCCACGGTTACACTGTGTGACCCTGTCAGCTGAGCACGGCAGCTGTTCCATGTGTAATGGCGTGTCTCGGCATCTGGGGGGCCTTAACCTGCCACAGGCTGGAAGTGGCTATAGGTCTTTGTTCAAGAGCGTGGTGGAGCAGAAGTCTGCAGCGAGAGCGTCAGTCTTTGAGAAGCACTATGCCTGAATAAGAGGTGCAGTATAAAATCTTCTCCATTCTCTGTGTTTATCGCACTTGCTTAACGCTTGCATTTCAACCCCTCTGACGTTCTCTCTGGGTCTGTAAATTTGACTGATGGAGACAAATCCTTCTGTTCCCTCTTTTACAACCTATTTCATAGGTACTCAACTGGAAGACATGGCTGAGAGGCTGTAAAAGAAATGCGCTCAACAGCACATTCTCACAGAACAGCTTTGTTGTAAAACTGACTCAGAAACTCCACCTGGTTAGAAGTGCAGGGAACTTGCCTTTTACAGTGCGAGAGCTACGATGGAGCTCCACAGGTAGAATTTACACGAGCCGTGATCAGCACGATCTGAACTCTGTCCAGTAACTTCTGTAACCGAGACCTGTTAATCCCAAGTAGAACGGGACTTGGGTTGTCATACAGGGACTAACTTGTTTATAGGTAGGGTAACTCCCTACACCTTGGCTAAATGGGGAACGCTGACCCGCTCGCAGATTCCTGCAAGCGCGGTAGCTACACAGACACCTCTAAAGGAGCATGGCTCATGGCTTCTCCCTACAACTGTTTACTGGCTCTTAAGGTCTGGGCTGCAAAGCCTGTTTAACTCGATTGGTCTCATGCCAGTTACAAGCTATTGCATCAGGTACTCCATTAGAAACTGTTTGTGCAAGATGCTGGCTACAGCTGCCCCCAGCTGTATGGGGCAATTTTAACCGCTCCAGCAGCTAATCTTGTCTGAATTAAAGAATGCGTCTCTTCAAAAAACCCTCCTGTAAGGCAGAGAGGGGGAACCTGTCGTTTTTAGCACATGGGACAAATTCACTTAAACCTTTATTCAACCAAGTGCAAAATAATCAATTGCACAAGTCTTAAATATGCTGGGTTCCCTCTTATGGGGAGGAAAATTCTGCCAGCTCCACTTTCCTCAACTCCATTGAGCCTGGCCTTTTCTTTCCCACTTTAGAACAATACAGAAACTAGAGAAACTCATGATTTGCAAATTTAAATCTCTTACTAAACCTGGTTATTTTATTCATACTGAGAGAACATACAGAAAAATCCAAAAACTTGGACTTTATCCCTTCAGTACTGATCAGATTTCTTTGGTCCCCGGTTTAGAAGAGTTTTAGGTGACCAGAAACTTTATCTACTACATCAGCTGGTCCCGGTCCGATACCCAGGACCGTCTGGGAGCCTGGAGCTATCTGAGTACGACCCGCGTCCTGTATTAAGCTCACAGTCAGACCGAGGTGTTTAGCATCAGCCAGGAGTTGGAGCAGAGTCTCTTCATCGGGAGCTTTGAGGACCACTTTAGGTTGTCCGCAGTACTCCCACTGCTTCAGCAGTTCGGGATTTCTTCTCTGAACTTGCTTGTAGGCAGAAACAGCAGCGTGGGAACACTGTGCTGCTACTTTACCCTTTCCCATCTTCAAATCGTTGCGGACGATCAGCACCATCTTGAACTCCCCGGACTCCCCCATGACGTTGGCTTCGCTCCCCAGGTTGTTCGCAGGCGCGGTCGCTCCGGCTTTGGGCTGCCTTAAAAGCCTCCCCCGAATGCCCCATCCCAGGCACACTCCGCACGCGACTCCAGCGACGACGCTGAGGAACCCGGGTTTAGAGAGATAATCCATGACGGATTTTGGGGACTGGCTGTGGGAGGGGGGGGGAAGACAGAATTTACCCGGGTGTTTTTCGCACCTGGTTATTTGGAGATGACACTTGTTAAAAAAAAAAAGAATCGTCCCGTTTTCGTGCGTTGGGAAAGGCGGGTCAGAGACCCCTTCCTCGGCGCGTGGGCTCCCGCCTTCCCCGTGGCAGCTTTCTAACCCCAAACACGTCACCGGTGACGGAAAAAACCCGGGAAGCGAAGAAAAAAACCGCAAGTTAAGTTACGGGCTTCAACCCGGGAAGCGGAACGAAGAAAAAAACCGCAAGTTATGTGAAAGTGGCGCCCGAAAATGGTGGGAGAAACGGTAAAATGGTGGGGTTTGTTTTTTTAAAGTCAATACCCAAAATTCACTCGAGGGCTGCC